CAACTCTTGGGCTACTCTTTTACCAACGAATAGTGGGATTGACCGTCACGTTATAACGCCCCCACGGCTGAAAGGGCGCAACATAATGAGCATCCTGGGAGATCATATTAAAATAATGAGTGTGTCATTATTAAGATTTCGAATTTTAGTTAGGGCTTATAATATTAAATGTGAGGTAGCACTCCAGACGTATTTTTCTACTTTATGATAAACTAAAATAAATAAAAATAAGAGAGTAGTAAAAATATTTCTAATAATTACAAGTTGATATTTACAAACAACTAAAAAAAATGACAATGCTGTATTGATGCCCAGTTTTAAACAATATATTACATTACCCGTGGAATTTATAAATAATTTAAAGTTCTTTCCACGATTGTAGGAAATTCCTTATACTATGATCATTTTAAAATGGTTTCCATTTTCTTTTTTCTGCAGTTACTGGCAGTATACCATTTTAAGTTGCAATTGAATCATCTTCTGTCCTGAGGTTTATTTCATCCATTTTGAGCAAACACTTCAGGAGTATGTGTGAAGTTAATGATAATATGCCATTTTAATCTACAATTGAAATTTATTCTGTCTAGTAATTTACTTCTTTTATTAAGGATTTACAGTTATCTAAATAATTCTTTGAGTATTTTTAGACTTCCACTACAGATAACTGATGTTTCTATATTATTTGATCTAATTATTTTATAATTACAAGATGGTTTATTTATTTCTTTATTTGCGACTCTAATTGATTCGAGTTATTATGCCAACTGTACAATATACTATAAGATGTAAACTTACTTTGCTTTATCCTAATTCATATATAATTATCGATTTAGGAATCTATGAATTGGTTGTATAGCAACAAATACACCATTTTAAGTGGAGCTTCTGGATAAGATGATTTCGTAAGTATTGCTACATCATCAGTAAATTCGACTAAATTCTTCTCTTTCATCCTCATTCTATTTATAAACTTTGTTTTAGCAGCTTCCTTCTGATATGACAGCAGCTGTCTAACAGAGTGTTGGTAACTGTTACAGCTCTCTGTTGGACGGCTGCTTAATATTGTTAATGCTGATCCTCTTAAACGTGCAGTAAGATAGCTTGCTGTTCACTACTCCAACCATTTACCTTGAGAACTATTTCAACCTATGCCTGATATACCTCCTATAATACATTTTCATCAAAGTCTATTGGTCTTTGATTTGTGCGATGGTGTTGATCTGGCTTGCTTCAGTCCATGAAGTAGTGGTGTATTTCTTGCGGTAAAGGTGGTAAAACAGTAATGGTAACGATTGTAAACCACGTGGGTTCTCATATTTCATATTGCTAAGTTAATAGTGCGCGAGTTTGGAAATATTGAAGTGGAGAGAAGCACGGCTTGTTTGGTTCTTGCAGTTACCAATTTAGTTTTCTCTAGATGTTTTATCCTAGCATTAATGTATATCTGTACATTTTCTTTGATCATGTTTATATTATATTTCTATACTTTCTTAATCTTTTTGTTATAATCTTCTTGTACCTCTTAAATTATGTTGTTATAAATCTTCTGCACACTGTCCATAGTTCTATAAATGTTAATAAATAAACGTTTTCTATTCCATCAGGCGGATCCGGATTCGCAAAAAAATGAATTAACTACCTTAGAAACATAATCAAATAATAGCTTAATACTGAATAAAACTTACTAACAGACCCCCAAAACCAATCATAATCTACTCTAAATTAATGCGCATTTTATACTGATCAAACTGTTCTTAAGCCTTGGAGAAAATTTCAGACGTGGCATGACATAGTGATTAGGGAACTACTTGCTATTTGCGGGTTGCGAATTCGTACCCAGTCACTGAATACGCTCTCCTTTTCAGCCATTAGGCCGATTAGGGCCTTATAATGTGACAGTCACTTCCAAGAGTTGGCGGTTGGTAGTGTTGACTGGCTGCTTTCCTTCTATTCTATCATTTCTAAGTTAGCGACAGCTAATGCAGAGAGCTCTCGAATAACTTTGCGAGAAATTATAAAAAAAACAACAACAAGCAAACCAGAAGTTACAATACGTGCTCATCACGTGACGTTAAATATTTTCTCTATACAACAGGACACACGACTAAATTGAAATATAGCCTACAATAATATTATAACGTAAATATCGCCTTTATAATATTTCTAGGATAAGAGCTTCCTAGTGCAAGTTAAATAACAGCATAGCTAACTAAATATTTAAGTGCTCATGTTTTATTTTTTTATATCTTCAAATTACAGCACACCTCATGTTTATCATTATTCGATAATGCAGTCAGATACTAGTTATAATAAAAGTAGTGAAATAATATCGACAGCTTGCGTTAATATTTGACTTTCAGTACAAGTATAATTATTTCCAAAATATGTTAAACGTCATGAATGTATTTTTTCTCCTTGCCACTTTGATTAGACATTATCATTAAGTTTTGATTTTATGAGCTATAAACATGTAACTATATTTGTACGCACCTCGCCATTGAAGAAGCAAAACAACAGAGAAACACACAGGCCCTGAAAAAGTAAGATCACATATAGTTTAAAAATAACTGTATATATATTTTGTGTTAGTTATTTCCCACTTTATTTCATTTACTTTCGAAAACTGCGGTACAGGTCATTCAGTTTTGATAGTTTAAAATCAAATTTTAAGCTTTGAAAGAAAAATAACGATATTTTACACACTTTATTATGAGATGCGATATAATAATACGGTTTATTACATTTTGTTAATAATATCTTGCGATTTCTTATTTTTTCTAGCAGTAATTAAAAAACAACACTTGTTCAGAATATCCGGACTTCTTACGCAAAAATGACATTGCTGAAAATAAATTATTCATACGTTGAAGATACTGTAGTCAAATTAATCAAGGTTAACCGTAGTGACGTGTTTTTATCTACCCTTGCAATGAATCATACACTGAGAGAGGCTTACCTGAAACGAAGCTACTGCAGCTGAGATTGGTTCATACACTGCTTCTTCAGGTGATCCCGGCTCCGGACGGAACGGGGTAATGATGTAATGCAGACCCAACAGAGGAATCAAAATCAACGTGGCTCGCACTGCTTTTCTGCAGTCAGAAAATAACAAGGTGCGAGTGTGAAATATCTCGAGCCACAGTAGGTTGGAAAGAAGAAATTTCATTAACTCGTGTATGCTTTCTTGTGTTTGAAATATCTCAAAATTGGTTTGTGCAGACGGCAAGTCACCCACACATATTACATTCTTTTTATGTAAAACTTTACATTCGAGGCCATTAACCTCGAGATTCAAGGTACTACTTGAAAAACACCACAACAACAGCAGAAATGATATATATCCTAATACTATACCTGTGCATTCTATAGGCAAGAGAAATGTTTACCTATAATTTAGCTATGTGATGTTTATTATAACAGAACCAAGATGCTGCTATTTCAGACAACAATTTTTTCAGAACATTTTAAACTTGCTTTTACAGTTTGCATTGTGAATAGTGGAAGGAAGAATTAGATCCCAAAGTAAACAATTTCTAGTAAATTCTAGAAGCGAGCTATAATTCTAATTAACACTCAAATAATTCTAAATTAAATATACACTAATAAGAAATTATAGAAATATAATTAACAAGTTAAAGTTTAAAGTTACAACAGTGTAATTTGACGGACTAGTCATTACAGTTGAAAATAAAATAATGAGCGTACAATATAAATCATTTGAAGGCCTCAAAATGTGAATGATTGTATTAAATATTTAGTTGAGCACACCCGTCTTTATCATATATTGTTTGCCATAATAATGTAATCCAACAATCTGGCCACAGAAGACAAATGAATGCAAATGCTTCTAATACAGCTGGGAATTCTCTTAATAACCTTCATCTTATTACCAGAGCTAGTTTGAAGTTAACATTTCTACCTACTAGCGTAGGTCTTTATCAGATCAATGCAAATAAGTTGAGACGTATTTTTATAGAAGGAGCACGGCCGTGAAAGAGGTCTGCTTGTTGAGAAATATTTATTTGTGTCTTTTAAACATTATTATCAGAAATGTTTTGAAAGTCGGAGGTCTATATAAGCGAATAAAAAATTAAGCTGACATTTTTAAACCATATCTAAAAGTAATTTACTCAAACTTGGTGACTAGAGCTTGTACTATATATATATATATATCTTTGGCACAAAAATTCGTAATATTTAAATAATAACGACGATGCCTCAATACCTACACAGTTAAGTAGCATTGCCAATATTAAAATATATCGTTTAAAAAAATTCAAACGTGTTACACGGTTGCTCTTAAATTTCTTAGGAAACATTTTAAATTGGGTATCTCAAAATATCTATATAGCGTGGTTGAACATTTAATGGCTCGCATAATAAAAAGAATTATATTTCAAATATAATTGTGAAAGTGTAAAATCAATCTAGAGCTGTATATATATATATCTTGTATAATTCCCAACCTTGTCTGGTGAGTATCTGGGGAATTCACTGCTCGTAGTTTGGTTACCAGCACTCGAACGATGTTAATGAGGAAAATAAAGTTGAGCTAGAAAATAAGATTACAAAATATTTTGTCTTTAAAGAACTTGTAATTTTTGAAGGTCGTTCTGAAGTAATAACAAAGTTTTTAAAATTAAAATGCTAGAATATACCGTAATATACTTGGCTGCAATTGAGTAAAATAACATCAGATTTCGCTGTGTGACTTATCTTTTAGTTTATTCATTAATATATATACCGTTTTGAAAGAATTTAACCAATAATATGCTATTTTACTCAGTTTATAGATTTCGACACAGAAAAACACAAAATGCTGCTTACGTGGAGACATTAATATGCAATATTCAACATATAACTAAATACTTGTTTTTACAAACTAACCAAAATTAAACATTTCTCAAAGTTTGTATTTTTCCTTTTCACTAATGCCACAAAATACAATCGAATTTAAATAATTCATCAGTGTCATGATATACATACTAATGTTTATTTTTTATTATTGCAGTTAAACTATGTTCAAATGGGCCAATTATAACTTTTTTCTCTGAAAATTATACTGATCCCTATTGAATAAACTTAGTTATTTAACAAACCCGAATAATGAAATAAAACTATGCTCAACATACCAACATGAATATGCACACTGGTCCAGAAAGAATCCACGTGAAGCGGCTCTCTTCAATCCAACAACTGAAATATATGTGGAAACTAGTGGGTTAGTTGATTTCTCAACAAGTAACCTTAGAAAAACATAATTAGCTCTAGAAATTAACTTATATGTTATATATAGTACTTTCCAATTAGAACTTCGTGTCCCGGATAGAACAGCGGTAAGTTTATGAGCTTACAACGCTAAAACCCGGGGTTTGATTCTCTAAAACAAACGCATACATTAGAACTTCAACTTACAAGACGGTGTCCTCTGGATACGAGCTTCTGACACCAGCATAGCAAGTTATCACAACGATTGGAGAACCTAAATAAATAAAAATTGCATCTAATTAAAGTGCATACTATTTATAAATTAATATACATATATACATAACAAATTCAGTTTAAATTTCTATCAGTTTCTCCAGTTCTATAAAGCAAGAATCTGTTGTTTTTTTTTTAGTTATTTTCAAATTTAGATTAAAAAGTCCAGAAAAGACTTAATTGAATCCGCTTCTTTAGACTTCTATTAAATTTAACATTACATACTGATATTAAGAATAATCGAGATACATTGTTTCTTGAATTTTGCCCTTTTATTAAGAAAGCTGTTTCATAACAACAAAAAACACACTGAAGAATATAATAAAGTTTGTGAGGATATAGTAAATATAGTAAGCACTGTAACGGATTCATTATCATGCATTTATTTTAACATCAACGTTTGTTTAGATTAAATTTATATTTAGAAACATACATAGCTTATATTGTTAAAAATGTATTGCAAAACTGCCACCTATTGTCCAAAGTTGTAGAAGATTCTCGAGAGTAAGAATCAACAATATACTATGTACATAAACGCTTAAATGTAGCTTTATATTGTTACGTAATCTGAATTTTCTAGAAAGCCTCCACACGCCTATAAATATAACTAACGCGTCGCACCAAAAGAGAGTATCTATTATTAGTTTGCTATAGTCAGTGTGCTATAAACTTTGGAAGCTATAACTGTGATTGTTATAACGCTTACCAATCGGAAAACATAAGATATTTGACCAGGAGCATTCACAAAGTTCGAACATTACAAACCATTTAACTTCAGTAGATTCTCATCGGACATTAGTACTTTTACGAAAAATTACATAACTTAAACGGCGGAAAACTCGGCGTGTGTGGCTGGTGAATAATGAAGAACAAAGCTTCCTGTTAAGAGAATTTAGCTACGTCAACTCGTAAGTAACTCGCTCATCGTGAACCCTCGATAATATATCATGGAAGTTCCAGACTAGAAATAAGACTTTATATCGTTTGTAAGTTTTTGTAACTTTTATTTATAAATTACTGTGTGTAATAACTATTTGTAATAACTGTTATTGTGAATTGTATTGTTGTTTATATATTAAAATATATTTGTATTAAAAAAGAAAACTGTGTGCATCAATCTTGTTGGCAAATATCATAAACTGACT